ATGCATGATTATGGTGTTCTGGTAAGACCACTATATGAACTGTTAAAATAAACCCCTCTCTCTTTGGAATGGACTGATTCAGCAGAGGAGGGCTTTTAGAAATTTAAAAACAGTGCTAATGGGAACTGCAGCTATGTGACTTCTAGATGTGACTAAATCCTTTTGGCTATATTCCTGTGAAGAGCAGGGAATAACTTTGGTGGTCCTTGCTCAGAAACTAGGACCCTGCTCCTGATTTAGGCAACTGTGCACACACCCAACAGTCACTACAATTAACGACTTTAATAACATTCTGCATTAATTTCAGGTATAAGTATTGGTCCCAGGCTGGTACACCAGTTATCATATAAGTCCAAATTATGGCTGATGCAATTTCATATGTATGGGTCCTGAAGGTTCGATCCATCATGTCTTCTCTGGTTCTGGTGCTTTCTTTATTCTTTTTCAACATTTGGGTTTGAATCAGTTCACTGAGAAGGTCAACCATAGAAGTGTCTTCCTATATCCTTTATTATATTCTTTAAACCATTTCTTCAAATTGATAACTTCTTCTTGATTAAAGTTTTGTGGGTTACTGGAACTTCAGACTGAAAGCAGCATAATCAAGATAGAAAATAAGGAAACAAAAATTTATTCATTTAAAGGGCTGTTAAAAAACTTGCTAATGAAAAAAAAAAGGAAAACGCAAGTAGAGGGCATATAAAAAAATACATTACTTTTTTATTTTTCAAAACTGAGCAAACTACTTCACCTCTAATTTATCTTGTGTCCAGTGGGAATATTTCCAATTATTCTTCCTGCCAACATATGGCTACTGTATCAGTTGGTGAAACAGATACATGAGGTACAGCCTCTTAGCTGCTACATAGTGCTAACTTTCGGGGTTTTTTAACAATGAGAAGGAAAAAAAGATAACGAGTATTGTCCTTAAGTACACAGACCCTTGTCTATGGATCTCCACTGAATATCTTATCTGGGAAAGGGGATGATGTTTTTGCCCATGCTTTGCCTTACCTTCTAAATTCCCACTGAAACTGCAGTGTCGTGTTTACAGTATGTTCTCACAGTCAAATAGGTGAAGCAGATTAACTGTTCAATACGAAATGGGATTTATTTTATCCATCAGTGAAGATAAAGCTGCAGTTAATACATGCCCCTTGCTATTAGCCTGAAGAAGCAGCACTGAAATGCTGCACCTACAGCCAATCACATCATGGCCACCCCAAGCTCTCTTACTGAGTTTGTGTAACATTTTGATACCATTTTGCAGTCACTCAGTAAATTTGCTGGTAAGGAAACCTTCTACTGGCACTTCTTACTTGCAGTTCCTGTCTGGTCACTTTCAATTCACCTGTCATAAAGCTACTTTTGTTTCTGAGAACACTTCCCCATTCTGTATTCTCAGACTTTTCTAACCGGAAAATCTATATCTTGTGAACTTGTAGCAGTCTCAAAGCAGATTCTCATCACTACTGTTACTGTGCTCTCATTAGAATAATTTTTGCCATTCTCAATCTCTTAACCCCACCTCACCCCCCCCCGTACCCTCTCCCCCCCCCCCAGTACCTATTTGGAAGGGGGGGGGGGGGGCAGAAAGATCAACCAATGATCCTTTTCCTGTCTCCTCACCTAAAACTTCCCTACGGTAGACAGACATCAGCTCATTAAGAACTGCAGGCTTCAGAAACAAAGTGTGATACTAACTCGAGTAACTTGATGCGTTGTAATTAATTGACCACAACATTACAGGCTGACAGGGTTACTGACAAAATCTTTTTGTCTTTCTGCTCAGAACACAAGTTTAATATTCAAAGCCGCCAGCAACAGAAGGAGAAATACGTAACTGTGTGTCAGGTTCAGAATTCAAGAGCCTTACCTGAAAAACGTCTCCCTTCATACAGCAGCATTCTAAGTACTTGTGCTGATAAGCCTGGGTGTCCCTGGGACAAAAGCTTTTTGAGGCACTTGTTACACGCATATAGCTGCAAGGGCTGTAAAATCACAAAAAGGAAACCTCTTTCAAGAGAGCAGAACCTGCCCTTACTAAATCAAAGCAGATTCCTATTCAGTATGTAACAGTGCACCAACAGACAGGAAATTAATTTCCCAAATCAAAACTATTTTCTAGTGGCCAAAGAGAAGACTGAAGATGGAATTGCATATATTCACAGAGTTTTTTCAAGATAGGAAGGACAGGATTGACTAAGCAAGTGGTGTGATACAGACATAACAGAAATATGGCATGTAATGTTCACACGTGCATATGTACCGCATATGCATGTGTCCATGACCACATGTCATGTGTCCAAATTCTGGTCCCTCTTACCTTTCCTATCCTGGGATCAGATCTGGGACAATTCAATCTCTGACTTTCAGTGCCTGTTTTCAGCTGGTCATTGCTGGGATCACCTGGCTGGTTTACCTGCGAAGATGCACGAAGCCAGATAGAGCCGGTTTTGTAACCAGAGGGAGGTTGGAGGATGCAGAGATAAGATTTATTGCTTTCAATCTCAATGCTTTAGGCACAACATATAGAAATTCTTTGGATGCAAATACTTAAGCTTCTGCTGCTCTGTCATGTCCAGTGGACCAGATCACTGTATTTATTCTTTCATAACATTAAACATAAGTATTGACTAACACCTGCGGCTATATGCCCCTTTTTGTGAGCACGTGTCCAGATACCTAGCCTGTTATTACTCAGTCTTTACACTGCAGCAATTCAAACCTCCTGAGTAACGTAATCGTGAGAAACTGAAACAGTCTGTGGTATGCACTCACCTCTGTTTAGGAATTCTAATAGCAACCAAAAGTTTCTGGAGACAAGACGTTTAACCAGCTGGTGAGAAGAGCAGGGACATGTTACTCTGAGGGTAAATCAGGTTGTGGAATGTTCTAAGCTGCAATTTACATTCCAGGGTCAGGGAGCACTCCTACCCCATCATTATGCAGCTCAGCCCTAGCTACTGAGACCACATAATCCACGTGGGCCTTTTGCAGCAAATCGTATTCACCACATGCAGACAATACTTGCAGTGACTTACTTCAGAAATCTGGTATTAGTCCTCACACAGTCATGAGGAAGTACCTTTATCCCAGCAAGGGGAAGGCAGAATGTAAAGATACCATGGATTCAGGGCTTAGTTTGCTGTATAAATTTGCTGTGTGTATCACTGCTGACTTTTGTTTTATTCAGAGAACCCACCAGCAACAACAAAAAGGCTGTGTTTTGTCAACAAGACATGTTTAAAGTTATCTTTAGTATTGTACTGTGCAGAAACGACTGCAAATTTGTCTTTTACACGTGACCATGGTAACAGTCTCTCATGGTAGTGGTGACTTTCTGACCCTTTGGCCTGGCTACAGACTCTTGTGACACTATTTGAGCCTTTCAATGGGATCTGTTTTAAGAAAGCCCAGCAAAAGCAGTGTAGATTCCCAGGATGATCACATTAATACTGTTTTAATTGCCAGATCTTACCAGCATGGCCTGTGCTGGCAAATTCCTATTTGTGTCTCATTTATACTGATGTACTTATACGTATTGATTGCAGTTATACATTGATTTGCAAGATACCAGTTTTTAAATAACTAATTTAGCAGGTAAATACATTTTCTAACACTGTAAAAAATAAAACATTTTTTGCATGTTTTAAATAGAAATTGAAGCAAGTTGAATTATTTTCCCACTTTCACCTATTTCTATTCAACATATAATTGGATACATTTATTCAGCACCTTTAGAGCTATTAAAAAGAGGGAAAAAATACCGGGGTGAGTGTGAACAAAGAGGCAGCAGCTGATCTTTGGATTCAGCGGTGCTGGGTCTAGTCTTCTTAAAACCAGACAGCAGACACAGTTTAACTGGACTGTGCTGCCTAACTCTGGAGACATCAGTGTTTTCAAAGGAAGTTTCAGTTGAGGGTGTAATTGAAAAGTTATTTTTCCTTTGGTAAACAAACGTTGTCTCTGCAGATCTGTTCCTGACACAACTATACCATAGTTCTAAGAAAGATGAAAAAAGGGAAGGGGATAGGGGGAGCAGGGGAGGAGAGAAGACAAGTTTGGTAATACTGATTTAAGTGTTTTGCTGTATTGCATCTTCAAAATACCTGCATAACTCTGGTGGTTAGGCCTGGCTAGTAACAGGAACCAATACTGAAATTTTTTTTGCCCAAGTGTCCAGTAACATCTGTGAAAACAGTTACACAATGGAATATTTCAAAGACGGGAGGTGCAAACTGCAGATTTTTGCAATGCTGAGATTGAGCCCACAGCAGTTTCCGGGAGCCGGGGCCTGTCCTGCTTCTCATCGAGATACTGCTGCTCTTATCAGTGGCCAAGGCCAGAGCCTCTCCAGCTCCCCCGAGCTCTGCGAACGGTGTCAGCCGTGCTCCTGCCCTCCCCTAGATGGGAGACTGAGGCGCTACGGACGTGACCGTGCGGGCTTTGGGCACTGGCCCACTATTGCCTTCCCCCTGCCCCGGTGTGTGGGGGTCAGCCCCCTCGGAGTAACGAGCCCGGGATGAGGTGCCGCCACCGGCTGGAAACCTTGACTCCCCTACGGGGAAGCTGGCGGTGACACCAATGGGACCGGGGTCCCACCCCGGGGGCTGTAGCTAGGCACAGCAGCACGGGGAGGACGCGGGGAAGCAGGTAGAGGCGAGCGGTCCCTTCGGGGAGGCTAGATGGGCTCCGAAGCGCAGCCGGCGGGCCTGGAAGGGCGCACCGGGGCACCGGGCTGCGCTTCCAGTCAGTCCCAGCGCCGCCCGTCTCTGGACGAGGGGCACCTGAACCGCCCAGCCGCGGGACTTCTACGGCCAGCGGCCCGCGGAGCCTTGCACAGACCCCACAGGGGCCGCCCCACTGCGGCGCAGCGGATACCGCTGCGGGGCGGGGCGGGCAGCTCCTCCCCGCCGCCACAGGGGTGGAGCCGGGCGGTGCCGTGGGGGTATTTCCCGCAGGATCGGAGCTGCCTTTAGCAGTGCTTGTGTGGCAGCGGCAGTGGAGGGAGTGCTCGCCCGGCTGGAGATGACAGACGCCCTGTCTCCTCGCGGTTGCCAACCGGCCGAGCCGGCGGAGGACAGCTACTTTCGGAAGGTGGGATGCGAGGCGGTCTGAGTGCCGGGACGGGCACACTGGGCTCAGCTGCCCCGTGTCCATCTATTGATACTGCTTTCTGTTGATGGAGAGTCGTGAGCCCCGTCCCGTAGCGGTAGAACGTGGGCGTCTGTGCTCTGGCTGAGCGCTCTGCGGCACTTGGGGTAGGGCACCGGGCGGACAGGACGGTCCCCGGGTTCATGGGCGGCAGCCGCGGTGCCATCCTCCGCTGCTGGGCTTCGTTCTGCGGGACAGGAGCACTCGTACCTCCACAATATGGGTGAATTCCCTTTGTCAGCTTCTCTTTTCTTTCGCTGCTCTCTTTTCTGTTCGCTTCTCGTTGTCTCCTTGCTCTCTAGTAAATTGCCTTGTATACCTGTAAGAAAGTTTGGTGGAGTAAGGCAACAAAATTAACAGACTCGTTAGGAAGTTTTTAATGAACATCTGCCTTAATTACTTTTCAGACTTAGTGGGCGGCGCATGCCGTAACCTGCACCTGAGCTCTTTCAGCACAGGGTAATTACAATGAAGTGTCTCTTGTCCGGTAGCCTCTGGGCTGCTGTGAACTTCACCGGGGGTGAAGGACGAGTTCTGTTTTCGGGAGCTTGGAGTTAGCCGTCCCTCACTGCTTCGGCTGGGTCATCCCTTGCAGCTCTCCACCTGCAACTGTTGTTGATGGGCTTCAAATAAGGGTGTGGGTACTCGAGGGATGTATATTGTGGGTCTGAGACAATAGACTGCTTAGCCTACGGAGGGAAAAAACCCAAACCAAACAACCCAAAGCCAAAAACTCTCATATGAATCATGCTGTTGCTGCTCAAAGCAAAGATACCCATCCCTGCACTGTACTTCAGCCACGACCTGGATTACACAGTAGGGAAGCCCAGACGCTTGCAGGCTGTTTGGATTTTGGACCCCAGTATTTACCAAATTCATCAGCTTCCTGGAGCTTAAGCAATGGTACTGCACTTTAGCAGAGGAACTTCACAGCTGAAAAGAGCCAAGTTTTACCTGTGCCAGCCGTACTGCAAGGCCTTGGTACTGGTGTGTAGCTAGAGGCTGAAACAAAACTTTCTCCAAATCTTGTCTGGTCTCTTCATTTGAGTATAATATTTGTTGAGTAATCCCTGATTTCTTAGTAGTCCACAGCAGGAAATCATAAAGTGTGGCAAAGCTGTAATTATTTAGAGTTTTCACAGCTCTGGTTTCTATAGTACAGGATGCTCATAGGCTGCCTGGAGGCATGTTAGTAAAGAAGTTGACTTCATGCACTTGTCAAGTTCATCAAGTTAGATGGATCAACTCTTCCACCTGTTTGTTTTTACTGATGGGGACTGACTGAAGTTTCATCATGAAGTTGTGCTTCCTAAGAGTAGATCTGCAGTCAGACTTGCTGAGGGACTGAGACTATTTTCAATTAGATTGTTGTATGTGAGGGTTAAGCTCACTGGAAACAGCATCAGTGTAAGTCCCCCATCCTGGTGAGGAGTTAAGTTTTCTCATATATGAAAATACTGTAAGATCAGTTTTATATCTCATCATAAACAGTAATTTCAATTTCCCCCACTTTTGAATTACTTACGTCTTAAAGGAGTAGAAAATAGGAATCTGATTAAGTCTGGGTGAGGCAGTGTTGCAGTGGAATGTTCTTGTATCTGTCCCCTAAGATCTTTGAATGGTTCATCCAGCTTATAAGTGTCTTTAATAAAGTTGTACACCTCATATCAGGCTAGATGCTTAAAGCTTTCTGTCCCCAAAAGTTAGATGTAGGCAGGAAACCAGTATTCCTTGTTATACATTAGCTGAATGGTCTCAAAGATCAGAGCTTTCTTTCTGACTCAGTAGTTCTAGGAGAAGGGGGGAGGAAAGGCAACCAAAACCTAAAGCATTCCCACTCCAGGAATCTTGAGTTGATACAAGCTGTGAAGCCAAGGATATACTTTGAACATAGTACTTTAGGCCTTACATGTTCACTGGAATGGCATGCTAGGTGGTTTCATGTAACTGAAAGCAGTGATTGAGCTGTCTGTATGCATCCATGGGTCTCCCCCTTCTCCAAGTCCCTTGGTATCCCTTTCTCTTTTTCAAATAGCACTACTTTGTGCTTTCCTGAAAGGATTTCAGGGTTGGTCTACCAGTTTTGCTGGTGCAAAATCTCATCAATTTCCAAAGCTAGTTGTCATGCTTTTAGATCAAAAGACATTTACTTAATTGACCTTTTTTTTTTATGTAAGCTGTGGAGCAAGGTGAAAACAATTGCTTAGATCAGTCCTGCTCACCAAAGGGCTTCCAAGCACTATATACACAAAGAGGTTGACCTCCATAATTTTTAAGAATATTGTCCACAGTGACATTCTATAGTTGAGAAAAGTTGAGCAGTTCATACTATAGCCATTTGGTTTAGGCTCTTGCTGTTTTCTTTGGAGGAATGAATTACTGTGTGCTCACAGTTTGTGAGCACTTTTGGGTGCTTTTTGGAGTCTTGCATACAGCATGCCAGAAAGCAACCCTCAATATCCCCAAGATGCAATCTGTAAACCAACTCATTTACTTAATTCTTGTTTAGCACCCTTTTTTATCTCCTGTGTAGAGAAGGCCTTGTAAAACTATGACTGACTTTGTGTAAAAGGCCATGACCAGAAATGGGGAAACACATGCCCAGTCCCAGTTCCTGCTTTGACTTCTGTTGCCATACTAGAAAGTCAGGCTTGCTCTGACTCTGCTAGGTGAGTCTGGGGTATAATGGGTGGCAGTTACTGTGTGCAGTGCCCACTTGCACCATTCCTCAGATTCCCTCTCTCCATTCCCTTCCAACAAGGTCAGAGCTGCTTTGTAGAGAGCTTTTCCTCTTTCCTTTACCCCATCTCTGTCCATTATCTCTCTTTTTCCCCTGTGGCAAAGGCCTGTCTAACTTACATAGGTAAAATTAAAATGAAATTTTATAAGTAAATTTATATAGGTAAAACTAGATCCTTAAAAACTTATAAGATGCTTTGAGCTGGCTCAGATTATTTATTTATTTTTTAAAAATACCTAGTTTTCAGGAATATACCTGTGCAGTCACACAGGGTATATGCAACTCTGCCAGTGTTGCCCCTATTTCTTTCCCTTTACATTTCCCTTCCAACCCAATTTGGTTAGCTTAAACCGAGCTTGTGAAGATTTTAGTTTAAAAAAGAACCAACAACAAAACCAAAATTCTTGCTGGTGTCCTGAAGAGGGTATGGCAAAGTGGAAGCAGCACCTTAATTTCCATCAAAAAGAAGAAGGAACTTCTGTCTCTTAACCTTTTTCATTCTGGGAAGATAACGTAGCAGGGAACTGGTTTTGCTACTGTTCTGTTTATCTCAGCCATCACATGTGTATAGTTCAGTATATGCTGTGGTACACTGCCAGGGCAAAGTGTACCCATACTCCTGAGTGGTGCAAGTGCTGTTGGACGTCAGCCTCCTGCCTTGACCTCCTCTGTGCAGAGTTCCACATTCTTTCTCTGTTACTGGCAGCAACTGGTGAATCAACCATGCATATCCTGCATATCCATCCAAATTCTGCCCCACTCTTTCTTCCCTACGAAAGAGTTTGTGGTCAGCAGAAAATAATAACAAAACTAACAATAACAGAAATTTGTTTCTAAAGTAGAGCGAGGCATTTAGACAGGAAGGATTTTTCAACAGACCAACAGTAATTAAAGCAGGTCTGTCCTTGTGTGCCACTTGGCTTATGAATGATGTTTCTCCCAACCTTGGGGAAGTTATTCTTTGAGCCTGTTGTGGTTCTGTGGATTGCTTGGCCTCTCAGACATTTTACTGGTTATTTTTTTTAGTTGCTTCTGAATTCGTGTGGGAGAAACATCTTTCTTTCAAGTTCTTTTTCTTTTGTTTTCCTTTATTTCTTTTCTCCTTTCATTACAGCACTCACAGAGTAGGTTTTCACAAAGTAAATATCCCCAAAACACATCAATATACAGAACTTGGGATATTTATAAAGTAGTACTCATCTAGTCACAGGATCCAATGCTTGTGTGATGATCATTTTAGTAGGACTGTGCCTGCCCTGTGGTTTTGGTTTTGAGGGAGCACATATAGATGACTGGGTGGGTAGGAGCAGACCAAAGAAGATACATCTAGCAAGCTTTTTCTACTGTATCTTTCCTGTCTTGTTTCGCTGCTTTTTAACACCTTACACGTACTTTATAAATGCTCTCATTAGTCAGGAAGTTGCAGTAAATTATAAGAAAAAGCCATAGTTCACTGCTCAAAGTTGCCCTTTCTGTAGCTCTCCAGGCATCTGCTGGTACAGCACTAAGCATCTTGTCTTCAGTTTGGCTGTTCTGTCCACAGTGCCATGTAGAAGGGGAGGAACAGGCCAGCTAGCTTCAGGAATCTTCAGAGTCTGATCAGTTTAATGCAAATGCTGATTTTAGTTCTCTCTTAAAGCTCTGGTTCCAGTGAAGAGGCTAGATACTTATCGTATAGACCAAGCTGATGATTCAGAAAGAAATACTGTATATATTAGTCCTCTCTGCTAAGGGAAAAGGCTAAAAACAGAACACAAGTAGTTCCATATATGAAGCACCAGGCTGAAAATGATGATAGGTATGGTAACCAGTGTGTGATTCAGCACTCCCCTAATTAACTCTCTCCTTCCCCTCCTTAGCTTTTGGGGTTTCATCTGCAGGGCTTCCCCCCTAACTGTGGTTGGTGTGTCAGTTTAGTAACCTGCTGCACCTGTGCTTCCACCATGGTTCAGCTCATTCGGTTCTTCTCAGTTATTAGTAGCCAGGCAACCATCAGCATTAGCATAGACACAGGAATATTTATTTGCCTATTTGTTCTCTCTCCCCTTGTCTGGCGGGACAGAAGCAACGCAGCAATGATTCATCCCCCATCATGCCATATTCACTCATCATGTACAAACTCATAAACCCTAATACTGAAAGTAGGCCTTCATGTGAAACTGAGAATCATCTGAAACTTGGTTGGTCAAGAGGCTTGACCAAC